GTTCTATGTTTTCATTTTCTTACTTTTAAGGAGAATTTAGTAAAGGATAGATGGTGGATAGACCTCCCATCACGTATCGTCGTAGGGAGACGACGGGCGACAGATTTTGTTTTGTTATTTTGATATTTTGAATAGAAGGATTAGAAATGAAAAGTAAGAAAATGATTTTTTTTGGACACCTCTCATATTTTGTAAACTTTATGTTGATGTGATAATGAATGAAATGAATGGAAAATTTTACTTGAAGTTCTTTAGTGGCTCTTTCATTATGCTTTGAAGATATCCTTTTATTTAGTAATGTTAAGTTTGTATAAATTCCCCCTGTCCGACTTTCGTTCCCGCCTCGCACTTGCGAGCTAATTGGGCCGGGCCGTAATAGTGGGCTATTTTTGGATATTTCAATTTATGCAAGTTTTCCAATGAGATATCTGGTGGAAATGCTCTTCATCACAACATGCTTGGTCTTCCTTTAATAGAATTATATTTAATATTGGTATTAAAAAATCGACTTCTATTGGAATGTTTCATACTTCGTTCAACCAAAAAGCTAATAATCTAATTCTTATTAAATTGAATAGTGTGTTCGCAAATGATCTATGGTTTGAGAATTTCCATTTATTATACTATAATATGGACCAACTCAGATGTTATGATCATACTCACCTAATCCTCCTGACTAATTCTCCACTTCAAATAAACCACAAGTTCCTGCTTAAGAATTATAGAACCTCTATCCCCATTTTTTGGGATGCCCTTCTCAAGGCTTTTTCTCAAAAACCCATTGTGAATTCCATATTTTTGAACTGTACAATTGGCTCCAAACCCTCAAAATCCTTATTAAATCCAAATAATAGGCATCCTCTAATTCTCTAAACTCCACCAGGTCTATTCTATAGTAGCAACAAGAATACTGCCTAGCTTCTTATGATTGACCAAGATCCCCTCAACCCTGACTTAAACTCTTCTCTGAAAGTCATTAATGCTCAATTGGCTTGCTTCTCTACCTCTTGGACTTCTTGGTTGCTGCAAAGGTCTAAGGACAAGTGGTTTACTCATGGGGAGGATGACATGAAATTTACAGCTTGAAGCAAAGTCAGGCAAAATAAAAATAGGGTTATTGCATCTCCTTTATGTATGGGGTATCTTCATCTAGTATTGATAACACCAAAGTCATTATTGACCACTTCCATAAACTCTATAACACTCTTAATCCCAACAAGAGAACCTTTCTCTCCCTCCCCTTAGAACCTTTTTCCTCCTCACCTTGTCCTCTTTCTTACAGCTTTAATTACTAACTTTGAAATCAAACAAATTATCTTTTCTTCCCCTTCTTCTGCTACACTCGGCCTAAATGGTTACACATTTGAGTTTTTTTAAGCTCCATGGAGTTTTATTGAGCACCATGAATGTTATGTAGTGAAGCAATTTTTCCATACTAGCCACCTTCCTAAGAAAGCTAAGGCGATTGTTATTGCCTTAATTCCCAAGACCACTCATTCAACCGTGATTTCTAATTTCATAACGATATCTTTCTGTAATGCTTTTTACAAAGTGATTACTAAGATTATTTGCAACAGATTGAAACTCTTGATGCCTCACATTATTCATAAAAAAATATAGTGGCTTCATTAATAATGGGATTTCAATTGATAATTCTATTATTACTTCAAAGCTGCTGGATGAGTTTATTAAATCCCCTCACAATAAGCTATTTTTTCCTAAATTAGATATTTATAAATCATTTGACATGGTTCAAATGCATTTCTTATTCAAAGGCTTCACTAAAAGGGCTTTTCCCTTCTTTTTGTCTCTTGGATCGTTAGCTATATTAAAGAGATTTATCATTTTAGTAACATTAATAGTGGCTTGGAAGAATTTTTCTCATCTTTTTGGGGCTCAGACAAGGTTGCCAATTATCCCATTATCTCTTTTGCATTATTATAGATATGGTTTCTAACCTTATTAATATCCCCTCTTGAAGTCATATTTTTTATGGGGTTATTATTGCTGATGTTTAAATTTCACACTTGTTGTATGCAGATGACCTGTTTATTATTTGGGAATTCCACTAAGCATAATGTTACATCCCTCATTAGCATTCTCTATCACTTTGCTTCTTCTTCTTGGCTGCGAATAAATTACAACAAATGTTATATTTTTGTTTCCCCTATCACCCATAACTCTTAAAAAAATTATAATATTATTAATATTCCTGCCTCAACAATCATATTACCTACTTGGGTGTTTATGTTTCCCCTAAAAAGCTGCGTGTTTTTGACTTTTAACATTTTATGTTGAAACATTATACACTTTTAGATGGTTGGAAAGCAAAGTTGCTTTCCTTCGCTAGAAGGTTGCAATACATAATGTTTACTATTTAGAGCATCATTGCCTATTGAATAAGAAGTATGGATTTTCCCTAATCTTGTTGCAAACAAATTGATAAGTTATGTGCTAAATTCTTCTTTCAAGGGAACACTATAGCCAAATATTATATTTGATTTCTTTGAAGCAAACTTACTTACCTAAGGATTGTGGTGGGTTGGGCCTACCCTCTCTTCATGCTTTACACTTTGCATATGGCTTCTCTATTTTTTTAGAATTTATAACTTTGACAGCCCTCTTGTCTTCTGGTGTAAACACAAATATGACTCTCCATGGAACCCTCGCCTCATAAAATCATCTGTTTTCTTGAAATATATGTCTAATACTGCCCAACAAGCCAACCATAACTTTAAATTCATTATTTCCCCATCTAGCACTTGTTCTCTATTTTGATATCCCTAGTGCAATGGGCAAGCTATTTCTGCTTTGATGGATTGTGGACCTCTTCTCAACACCTTTTCCCATAACTCTCCAATTAGTGCAATTATTCTTAATGGTAATTGACATTCCCTTCATTTCATTCTACCTCACCTCAGGGGATTGTGCATATTGTTCCCATCTCTGATTTCTCCTAATGTACTTTTTCATGGTGTGGGGTTGATTGACCTTCCTTTAAGAACTTCATTTATGAATTTACAAGGAAATTGCAAAGGTTCTTTTGTCCAATTATATTTGACATAAATGGTCTACCCTCAAGTTCTCTGTTTTCTCTTAGCTTGCTTTGATTTGAGGTCTTAAAACTACTGATGTTCTTCTCAAAAGAAATATTTTTGTTGAGACTACTTGTATACTTTGCCACTCAGCGCCAAAAGAATTGCTCTCACATGTTTTTTGAATGTGATTTCTCCATCTTTGTTCTTTCCAACTTTTTTGCCTGGATTGGATAGTTTCTTGCTAAGACCTAATATTATTAAGCTTTTTGATGTTTTTGCTGATTCTCAGTTCTTCTCCAAAAATATCAAAAACTTATACTCTTTGATTATTTGCAACTCTATTTATCATTTATGGAGGGAGAGGAATATATAGCAAGAAGTTTGGTATCAAATTTTGTTGTGTTTCAACGATTACAACTCTTATAAAAAAAGCAATAAAGCTCAAAATTATTGGCTAGAAAAAAACATGAAGGATCTATTGGTCCCATAGCCTGATGCCTCTTATTTTCGGGTTCTGCATATATTCTATGTTGTGGCTTTTTTGGTGTTGCTACATTTCAAGCTCAGCTGCATCTTTCTTTCTATGGATATATGAATGTTCTGCTTTGCTAATTTTTCTTTTAGTTGGGATGGTGCCTTCAAGTTTCTTTGTAAGCTACGGAGTATTTTCACACTGAGATTTTTTGGCTGCATCACCAGACGATGATAAATATTTTTGGCTCATCCAATATTGCTGATCACCGTGGATAGCCATGCTCTCAACCAGGCTTTTCTGATTAATTTTCCCAGAAGGTCGCTCCGACAACCATGGAGCACTTTGATATTGTAATTATCAATGATTTTGGGTGTATTTTAGTCATTCTTAGTCCAACTTTCATTACTTGTGCTTTTTCTTTTCTTTTCTTTTTTAGGATAGCCCATTTGCCTAATTTGAATGTAACTCAATATGTTTTTTCTTCCCTAGCTGTTAGTTGGGCCTTGTAATCTTCATTTCTAGCTAATGATATATATATATATATATAGCTTAGTAAATCTTTTTGTCTATAACAATGGCGGTCACCATCCATGGAATCCTTCACGACAGTGATAGTTATATGGTCATCCCAAAGAAAAGGTGAAATATTGATATGGACTCAACTTATAAATATATACAAAAAGGAAAAAAGGTGGAGTTTTTATGGCCAACTTCTGCAAAATTTATATTATAATGAGGGACTAAACAGCCTGAGCTCCACTTAGCATGGCCACCATTGTTTGGCTTCAACAGCAAGTTAAAATTGATTTCTGCAAGCCTTTGCTTCCATTCCAAACCTCACCAACCACCCAAATTATAAGCACTATATCCCAAAAGCAGCAGGAAAAATCCCACGGCTTTTCCCTCCGAAGCTTTGTTTGGTAACGCTGACGCTGTATTTTTTCAATAAATCTTTTTTTTAGAAACAATATGTGCTAGTGCTATGCATTCATTTATAAAATACAAAATAAATAGAGAAAAAAAAAATGAAGCACAATGAAACATCATATGCCCTCATATTTTATTTGATTTCTTTTTTCTCATAATTTACTTTTTGAACAATGAAAATGCTTTAGTTGTAAGAAATACTGTTTAAAAAAGTATCATTGCGTATATTTTATTTGATTTTTTTTTTCTCATTTGCTTGATGAATTGAACTGACTACACCTGAGCTCGTTCTAATCGGACTCAGTTAAGCCCACTAACTTACAAAATTACTTAGCATTTCTGTAGTAGTATGAAAATTTTATAAGATAGAGCTCAGAGTAAAAGCACCATAATCAAACTAAGCCTACATCACTCATATCTCCTATATCCACTCAAATCTTTTTTTATGCTTCTTAAGCAAGGAATGCTTGAATGAAGCCAACGGTGGCCTCCACACAATGCTTCTTCTCCCCCTACAAATTGGAAGATTTCTCTGTCACTCTGCAGTGAAAGAGAAACCAGGACAGTGCTGACAGAATGAGCTCCTTGCAGGGCTCTCATGGCAGAAGAATACTTGTTGATGTTTCAGTCGATTCCAAAGCTAGTTCTGAGCTTCTTTCATGGGGGATGGAGCTTTTAACTCGTTCAAACGATACAGTGATTGCCTTGCATGTCATTAGTAAACATCAGACCTTCTATTTTGTTATGAAATTTGAAAATGGAAAGAATAAGATGAGTTTGAATTGAAATTCAACCGTTATGAATTGCAGTGGCTAAGGAAGGAAAGAAAATTTGCTCGGATGTGAAAAGATTTCGACAGGCCAAGGCCTCAGTTATCTCCATGCTTGGAGAATTTGCAGAGATCTCTCAGGCAAAACAGGTAGGTCTGGAATCTGGAATTTCGAGCAGCTAAGAAAATAATTAGTCTGATTCATACTTGCTTCTTTATTCCATTGCAAAGGTGAGGTTAGAAGCAAAAGTCAGGAGCAGCAGCAGCGTTGGAGAGGGACTTGCTGAAGAGGCTACATTGCTTGAAGCTAATTTTCTTCTTCTCGGCTGCGGTTCAAGTAGGATTTCACAAAGGTAATGGGCCATTCGTTGTGTAACTTCTTATTTTCATTACAGTAGCAGAAATTTACATTTAATAGATTCATCTCATTTCATCAAAGAAAGAACTTTTTTTCTCTGATCAAATTAGTTTAGAGAACTGCTTCATTAAACAACTTTTGAACAGTACTTCGAGGCTTCGTTTGAGACGGCTTTCTTCCTGCTTCTTAAAGCAACTTTTTAGTACAAAAACTGTCTTAAGAAGCAATAAAAAAGCCGTTTTAGCCTGAATCTTTTTAACAAAAAATACAGCCCACTTTTTTTTACTTAGCTGATTTCTCTGTTTCTTAGCAGTAAATCTTATCTAATCACCAAATACTGCTTCAAGCACATTCCTGAGAACTGCTCACTGATTGTCATGGGTAAACAAACTCAATCATTGCTACCTCAGGACCCTCCTTCAGAATCTGCTATATCTGAAAGTAAAAAATCTCCTTACTAAACCAAATCAGCCACTGCTTTTGTTCTGTTCTACATTCTGTGACTAATATTTTGCTTCCATGACAGATGAACACTCTTCAAGCTTCAAATGGGCTAACAAAGAAACTCCAGCAACCAAGACTCCTTTCACCATCACAAAGCTTTTTGGATCAAAAATTCAAAGGGAAAGGCGACGACACTCGGCCGGAGAGAGCTTCGGTGAGCTGAGCTCACCTGTTACTGTATTAGATGGACTTGAGGAAATCCATAGTTCTTCAAGTACCTACAATGGTGGAATGAATAGGAGAAAGATGCGGAGGGGTCTCTCCAAGTTGAAGTTCCTTCTTTTTGGCTCAGCAGAAGGTTTATCTGGAAAGGAAATAGGAGAAGATAGCTTGCCAAAGAAGTATGAGGAGCAGAAACCTTCATGGAGATGCTTTAGCTATGATGAGATCTCACACGCAACCAGAAACTTCCATGCAGGTAAATTGATTGACAAACAAACTCTGCTTATCTTATTCATCTCAGAAGTCATATCCTCACCAAACTCCATAGCTTTTACTGATACTGCCATTATATGTTGAAAGCTTTAGAATGAAGCATGGTAATAATGCTTAATTTCAACAGTTCTATATCACCATGATGAAGGACTGATAGCTCCAATCCATTGCAGGTTTAATAATTATAATATAATGAATTTCTTTCTTCAAAAGTTTGGATCAACTTCACATTGATTTGAAGTTCACTTAAAATAGAGAATTATCATTTCTCAATCAAAACCAATAATTAGCATCTACTGCATTTAATTTATGATATTTTTATAATAATTTAATTATTTATAAAGTATTTGAAAAAAAAAATTAAATGATCACATAACATAAAAGAGGCTCTCCAAATAAAAACAGCATACATTATAATTATATTTCACCAATTAAAATCATCAAATACATTTAAAAATTCATTTTTATCCAATTAAGATCATCAGCCATCTACATATTTTTATTTTTTCAAGAAATGGGAGCCATTAATTTAAAAAAAATATAATATTTTTGACCTATTGATTATCTATGAATCTTTAAGAGAAATAAATTTCTTTATCTAACACTAAAATGTCATAATATTAAAACCTAAATGAGTAGCTAATTCAACTTGTTGGGATTTACATACATACCACTTTATTTCATACAATTTACATATCTAACACGTAAAACTCTAATATTACATGTCTACCACACACACATTAAATAAACACACATTGAATAAATATGGGTGCATGGAATGAAACATTAAAATTTATAGGATAGTATATGTAGTAAGAATGAAATATCAGACTGATATATTTGATATTAAAATTTTATATTAGTGATAGAAATGTAATATTAAAGTTTTGTGTATTAGATATGTAAATAACATGAAATAAAGTTGTATGTATGTAAATCCCCCAAATTAATATAGAATCAACAATGTGCTTCAAAATAGAGCAGATTTCAAATAAAGCCAAAAATTGTAAATGATTTTTGAAGCTATCTTCTACAGATAACATGGTGGGCAGGGGAGGGTATTCAGAAGTATTCAAAGGATCTCTCCATGGAGTTGATGTAGCAGTGGAGACTGTCAAAAAGCAACAGAGAGGAAAAGGAGAGAGAGTTTCTTGCAGAGCTTGGTATACTTGGACATGTCTGTCATTCAAACACCACTTCCTTGAAAGGCTGCTGCTTTGAGAATGGATTCCATCTGATCTTTGATTTCTGTCCCAATGGAAGTTTGGCTTCAGCCCTGCATGGTTAGGCTCTCAATCTCATTGTCTTTCTTCTCTTTCCCCATGATTTTTTTTTGAAAATTTCTGTGTCGGATATTCTGACAAGAAAATGATCAGGACGAGCTAATTTATATTTGAAACTTCAATTTATAACAACAACAACAACAACATCAAGCTTTTGTCCCACTACGTGGGGTTTGCTATATGAATCATTTTTCTCCATTGAGTCATGTTAAAAGTCAAATTCTCGTTTAAATCTAATAAAGAAAGATAATTTATTTCTTAACATAAGTCAAATCTAGTACCTCTATTTTCCTAACCGGGTCATCGGAAGGCCGCAGTTTTATGTGACCAAATCATCTAAGACGACTCTATCTAATCTTATCTTTCACTGGCGCTACTCCAACCTTTTCACGTATATGCTCATTTCATATCATCTCTAAGGGTAAAGACACTCATCCACCTGAGCATCCTCATCTCTGCAATACTTAACTTAGTATTACGCTTCTCTTTTAATGGCCAATATTAGATACCATAAAGCATTGCAGGTCTCACCACCATTGCATTTGAAACTCCAATTTGCTCATAGTAAATTCATTTGTAACTTGGCTATAATCCATAGGTAAAAGCAACAAGCTTCTAGAATGGACTGCAAGATACAGGATTGCAATGGGAATAGCGAGAGGAATACATTACCTTCACGAAGGCTGCCCTCACCGCATAATACACAGAGACATCAAGGCCTCAAATGTGCTTCTGGGCTCAAACTATGAACCTCAGGTAAATTTGTATTTGATGCCAATTTCACTAAACGATCATTATGATTCTGTGTAAACGCTTAATTTTAGAGTTTCAGAACTTCGTGAATTTTTACAGATTTCAGATTTTGGACTCGCTAAATGGCTGCCAAAGCAACTGACTCATCACTCTGTCAATCCTATAGAGGGCACGTTTGGGTAAAAGTTTTTACCCCTTTTATTTGGAGAAGTTATTCTATGCGGAGACTGAACGCAGAACGTCATCTCGAGACCAACCGGAATGAGTCACGTCAGCGGTACCGAACGAAGGGATGACATGACGCATTCTGATTGATCTCCGAATAGCATTCGGCGTCCGCACAGAATAATTTTTCCGTTTTTTCCTTTTTTTAGCTATGAGCAAAGTTTCAAATACTGAAATAAGAAAATGGTTAAGGGATATGAAGGCTTTGAATTTAACTCATAAGAAATCTGCTTCACATTTTTTTTAACATCTTCAAATTTATTTAGTCCACACTGATCAAGAGGTGAGAATATTCATATTAGGAAAGAAAGTAAAGTTATGTTAGGATATCTTTATCTAAGGTTTTATTTTTGACGGCTTTCTTACTACTTCTTAAATCAGTTTTTTATTACAAAAATTTAATTTTTTTTATTAAAAAGTTATTTTAAAAAACAATAAAAAAACTCATTCCAAACGAAGCCTAAATCACGTTACATTAGGCCTCCTTGCCGTTAGATGAATGCTGAGATTAGTGCAGCGTGTAATATTCAAGGCCTACACTAATCTCAGTGCAAATCCAGAGACAATAAAGCTCATCATAACATGAATTCTATTAGAATATCCTAAAACAATTTCCCCCCTCCCCTTTAGAAAACATTGTCTAAAAGCGAATTGTCCAACTTCATAAAACTAGAATATGTTTCGTTTGGGATGACTTTCGTACTGCTTCTTAAAGCAATTTTTCAGTACAAAAATTAAAAAAATTTGTACTAAAAAACTGCTTTAAGAAATAGTAAGAGAGCCATTCCAAACGAAGCCTAAATAAGAGCCAAGAAAATATATGATTCCTATGAAAAATACTCGCGGGTATCATAATCTTCATTGAAACAGCTATCTGGCGCCAGAATACTTCATGTATGGAATGGTAGATGAGAAGACAGACGTTTTTGCCTTTGGTGTCCTGCTTCTTGAGATTGTTACAGGGAAGAAGCCAATCGATGCCTCAAAGCAGAGTCTTCTTGTTTGGGTGAGAACTAACCCATTCATTCCAGATTCCAAACATTCTTTTGATTCTTCTGCTCTTTTTGATAGCTAAGGGCTTGTTTAGTATCAACTTTTAGGCTTCGTTTGGGGTTGTTTTGTTCGTGCTTCTTAAAGCAGTTTTTTAGTACAAAATTTTAAATTTTTTACTAAAAAACTGTTTTAAGAAGCAATAAGAAAATCATCCCAAACGAAACCTTAATGAGAAATAATCCATTCAAAATGATCCCAAAAGCCATCTAAATAAGTAGTTTTATGGGCAGGCAAAGCCACTCATGGAGGCTGGGAAGTTCACTAAATTGGTTGATTCAAGGCTTGGTGAAAACTATGACAAAGATCAGCTAAAGAGATTAGTTCAAATTGCTTCCTACTGCGTGAGGCCTTCGCCTATCTGGCGCCCATCGATGACTGAGGTAAGCTAAGCTCTCCTAAACAAATTTTCAGGCCAATTAGTTTACAATGTTTTGGGGAAAAAAAGGATTTGCTCAGTCATTATTCACTGATCAATCTGATTAAACATTGATTAAGCTTAATCAGGCTTTTGAAAAATGGCTTAATTTGAGCTAATTGAAGGTCTGTTTGGAATTACTTTCTAGCTATTTTTTTTTCAAGCAGCAATTATAATTTCATTTGGTTATTGTTTTTTATTGATTTCTCATTGCTTTACATAAATTTCTATAGTGGGAAGATATTTTTTGCACTCAGAATAATTAAATTATTTTCCTCACAATAACTTCACACCCAATTTTATAAAACGCTGCAGCACCCCAAATAGATGCTAAATAAGAGCCTATTAAGAGGTTCAAAATCTATTAATCAGTCTTAAAATTAAAACAGGAAATTGCTTAAACTATTTATAGATTTAGGCTTCATTTGGGACGGTATTTTTACTCTTCTAAAAAGCCGCTTTAAGAAACAGTAAAATAACCTTCCCAAACGAAGCCTTAGAAAACTTGATTTAGTTTTCTCAACAAGAAATGGCCGTAATTTTACAATCCTAACTTGATGCAGTTCAAATTGGTTAAACACCCAATTAGACAAATTGATCTGCAAATTATAAGAGATTAATATCTTTATAATTGATGTTTACAAATGCTTCAAAGAATAGAAGAAAAAAAAAACAAAAAAAAAAAGGTAAAGTCCCAAAATAGTCTAGGGTATCATATTTCTACAATTTAGTCACTCAAGTGTACAAAATTGATCCTAAATGATCTCTTAAAGAAAAAAATAGAACCAATTTGTATCATAATTTTCATCAATTTCTATTTGAGGGATCTTTTGTGATTAACTTGATATAATCGAGAGACTAAATAGAAGAGATGTGATAATTTAGGACTAAATTGACTACATACGAATAATTCTCGATGTATTTTTGATTGTATTCATTTTGAAATAAAATATAGACAATTTTAGCTCGAATGTAAACTAATGAGCCTAAATTGACGTATTAGTTTTGGCTAGATTGATCAAATTAAATAATTTTGAGCCAATTTAGAGTTATGGGCTTCGTTTGGGGCAACTTTCTTACAGCTTCTTAAAGCAACTTTTTAGTACAAAAATTTAAATTATTATACTAAAAAACTATTTTAAGAAGCAATAAGAAAACCGTCTCAAATAAGGCCTAAACATCAAAAGCTTAACTAGTTTTTCCTTCAAAATCAAATAAAAAAGGAATTTTTATTAAATTGACAAATGGGCTTAGCGCTATTTTAACTTTGCTGAAAGTCCAGGTTCAGCAGCTGCTGTTCGAGAAAAATAGGTGGCAGGAAGCCTGGAAAGAAGCCGAGAGCTGGAAGATTCCGGAATGCCACAGCGATGACTTTGATGATTTTTCTACTGAATCAGATATTTGTTCTACTTGTTAGACTATTTAAAGATCTGTAATTTCTTAAGATTTTGTTTTTTGTTGGGGGAAGAATAGGTTTGAGGCTAAGGCTTTGGCATGTAGCGTTGTAGCTGTGAGAGTGGAGAAGAATTTTTTGTGTTTGTAATTTATGTAGTGAATGCAGTATGTTTTTTCTCTATGTGCTTTTGGTGGATGGCAAGTTCAGAAAATTTGAAATTTTGCTTGCAAGGTTTTAACGAACAATTATTACGTCCTCCGACAGGACGTAGAGTAACGTTCGCTCGGAGGCCAAATTGTGTCAAAAAACGAGAAATACCGAGCAAATACCAAGCAATATCAAACAATAACGAGGAATACCATCACATGAAGACCCAATACCGAGTTATACGAGCAATACCGAGTTATACAAAAGTTGTACCGAGTTTTTCCTAAAAAAAACTCGGTACAACTCGGCATTGCTCAGTATAGCTCGGTATAACTCGGTATTGGTCTTCAAAGAGCGGTATTCCTCGTTATTATCAAATAATACCTAGCAATACTGAGCAAATACCGAGTTTTTTGGCGGGATTTTGCCTCCGACCGGACGTTCCTCTACGTCCTTACACCGGACCTAATAAAAGTTCAAGGTTAATAAGCCATGATAGGTAGCCAACAAAAGGGGAGCATACTCATTTACCTATTAGATCTATCTCTCTCTTCAGGGTGTCAATAAATGACTTGATCTAAAAAATTCGAATACGGAATGACTCGTTTAACAAACAGGACGGGTCATATTTAGGTTGTATATTCTAACATATTTATTAAATGGGCCGATTTCTCGTTGAGCCATCGACTCAAATTTGACCTGAAAATAACTATTTAATATTTTTTCCTTATTGATTTAATCTTCTTATTTTTTATCAATTAATATAAAATTTATAGTGAACAAGTTAATAAAAACATTTTTTAATTAACACGGGTTATTGAGTCGGGTTGCTAGCAGGTTGGGTTAGAGTTCTCCTTTTTGAACCGTTTATTAAACATGTCATATTCCGATGGGCTAAATTCGAGTTTAATTAATTTAAGTTCAGACCCCAATCTGACTTGATCAATTTAGACACACTCTCTCTCTTTATGGATCAAAATACATTTTCTATTTTGTTTATTCCTTTTACCCTTTCCCATTCTTAATTGCTTTATTTTTCAATTTTTATAGATTTCTCCGCTCCGTTGAATAAGAATATCGTGATGATGAAGCTCCATAGAATTATTCAATTTAATAGTGCCTTCAACAGATAAAAGTAAGTTTATCATTCATACGGCATCACAAAATTAGCTTGATCGGTCACGAATCTCGAGGCAAAAGCTAGTTGGAAACTTCAAAAATTAATTCCGGGAGCACCTGAACTCCGATTTCAGCGAGCTTATAGTCAAACTGAGCGTCTTGGAAATACGAACCCAACGACATCAAGATCAACCCAATCCGAGCCCAAATGAGTCCGAATCAAGGACCCGAAGCGCTGTTGGAAGGTTCAAACCGCAATTTGAGTTACCAAAAGGTCTCCGATTTTAACGAGCTTATACTCGAATCGAACGGCCCGATGAGACGAATCCAACGAACCCAAGATCACTGAATTCCGCCATCATTAAGGCCTCCAAATGTCCAACGAACGGTGCACGATCGAAGGGTTCAATATCGGCCGTCCATTCAAACCACTCTCTATTCGCCCATGATCTCACACCTATTTACGAGCTATGTCACTCCAGAAAAACTATAAATAGAGCCCTCATTCTACACAAAGGGGACTCAAGTGAAGAGAGAGAAGAAGAAGAGAAGAAAAAGGAAAAGGGGAAAAGGTGAATCCTCTCCTCCTCGACCACCGCCGGAGCTCTTCCCACCGCTTGAATACGCCGGAACTCTGCCGGATTTTCGGGAAACGACGGGATTCTGCAAAACTTTGTAAATTTGCTTCAAGTTGTAATCTGATCGTCCCGAGTTGTGGGACGAATCAGTTTCTTGTAATTTACAAAAACACTAGTGGAGTTTTACAACTGGGCAAGGCCCCGTGGTTTTTTCCCTTTTTGGGTTTTCCACGTATAAATCCCGGTGTTCATATTCTCTTTACTGTTTGTGTGTTAAATTTACATGCAATGCTCGGACGCGAATTTACAAACTCTACCGCCGCGTACTTTCTAGCACTCAACAATCATACTTTTAAAATAAAATAAAATTATTTTGATGGAGCTCTAATACAAAGCTTTATAGATTTTCAATTAAGTATTATCTTTAAGAGGTGCCGAATTTTCACAGATTTAAGATCTTAATGTGATCCTTTAAGAATTTAAATAAGAAAAAATTGAAAAAAAAATCATTTGAGCTTAAAATGAGAAAAAAAAAAATAAAATAAAGAATAAGAAATTTTCTTATGAAGTTAATTTTATTTCTCTCCCAAATTTAATAGCAAATATATATATATATATATATGTTAACTTTTTATGATTAAATTATCTTTATTCAAATAAATAAATAAATAAATTACATCACTATTATAATTTATTCATTTTTTATGGTTTGATTTCTATTCAAATATATATCAATTAGATATAAACTGATTCATAAATTTATCAATTAATTATAATAAATAATTGATTAACTTTTAATTTAAATTAAAACTAATTAAAATTTAACTGCAAAAAAAGTTAATTTTGAATGCCTAAGCAGGGTGATTAAACATTAAATATTATTTAATATATTAATTAGCTTAAAAATTTAATAACTAAATTATTAAATTATTTTAATTATTCTATGAATTATTGATCAAAGATAAATAAAGAAAAAGATGAGCTAGGTTGAACAAAAATTTTATAAGTGTTAGCTAATTCTATTATTAAAAATTTTAGAAGTTATTATTATAATCACATGTAAATCTCACCTAATAAATGAGCTCGAGTTCAAGTTTGACGAGAATCTATTTGTTGCTCATGAGCCAACTCAATTAATTTTTATTTATTTATTTATTTAGGGAATTTAAATATGTTGCAAGTCTCAATAACTCGTTTCTTCTTCAAACGTTGTTGATCCCATCGATGCCTTCTCCAATGAGATCTTGCTCGACTACCCTATAATTTCTGTCGATTCTTTCTTTAGTAAGCCCCTTTCATGGCTTTTCAGTTATAACTTATCAATGCATTTCCAGTAATTTCATGTCATGACTTCCTACAAATTCAAATTGCAAATTTCGTCTTTTTATGTAGTCTAATTGATGCCATTTCTAGTGAGTTCATATCGTAACTACGTTGTCTTTATGGGTCTTATCTAGTGGTGTAAATGAGTCAAGCGAACCTCACGCCATCTCGGCTTCGACTTGAGCTTGACTAATTAATCGAGTTTTAGCTCGAGTTTAATTTTATGAGTTCAAGTGGACTTATGAGTTGGAGAATAAAGAAAATAAATATGATTCAAATTGTCGTTATAATAAAATGATTACAAAAGAATTCTAAGAAATAAGAGAAAAAAAATTGTAATTTCTATACAAATAAATCTTATTTTTTTGTTGACTATTTTTCAATCATTTTTTATTGCATTGCATTGAAATCAATTTTTTTTTTATTAATTTATGATTTTATTTTATTTTTTGTTATTATTATTGTTATTATCTAATTAATTAAAATTTTGCTCACCTTTAAAAAAGAAGCTGGATCCGCCTCTGAGTCCAGCTCAAGAGGTTCACAAATTAGTTTGGCTCAATTACACCCGCAATCCCGTTGATGCCATGAGCTCACGAGTTAAATTCGAGCCTATTGTTATTCAGACTAGCCTAGCTTGAGGTCATTATGAACTCAACTTGAGCCCTTGCTCGAGGTCAAGCAAACCAATGGGTAAATGAGTCGAACTCGAATTTATCATGACTCAAAGCAAAACACGACTTATTTACATCCCATTAGTTTTATCAAATAATAATAAAAATAATAATAATAAACAAACAAACACTATTTTAATTATGTTGCCTAACTCATGATTTGAAGTGAGAGATAAGGAAATTTTTTAAAAAGAATAATAAACAAACACTATTTTATGAAGTTTGAGTTTGATAGTTCTATATGTATTGTTAATAAATTAGAATTTTGGCTTAAAGTATATTTAAGTTATATAGTTATAAGAAAATCTTATAAATTAAAAATTTTCAAAAATTTTAAATATTTGTTATGCTGTTGTTCTGTGTTTTTAAAAATTATTAAGAATTTAAAATTTATCTGGTCTTATCTTTATAATGTAGTAAATATTTAATTTTTTTTAGTTTTATATTTTTTTTGGTTAATTATCATTTCTTCTAAATTCCATTTGGTTATTTAAGGACCTCAAAAAATAAATAATGGTGTCCCATCATGCACGTGACAATGAAGAGGCCCATTTTCGTACACTCAAACTGCATCGATTAATATAAATCCCAATTGGTCCTTCAGAAGGCTAAAAACTATTATATCACTTTGAGAGGGACCCAATTCAAATTATTATTGTTAAGTAATGTTATAAGGACAGTTTTTTTTTTCCATAAAAAAATATATTTTATTCCAATCAATAAAAAGAGGATACAAATAAGTCCAATAAAGTACCAAATTAAAATTCAATTCAATAATCAACAAAGAAGAGACATTAAAAAGAGAAGGAAGCAAATGCCAATAGAGCACAGTCATTAACAAAAATCTTTCTGCAATTACTTAGAGACTGGCCAAAGACTATCCTAAAGAGGAAGCAAGCAATAACCCACAAAACCAAGGCCTCCAAAAGCACCACCAGTGGCTGCCAACACATCACATTTGTACAGGAGATGAACAGAAAGTCTCCACATCATTGCTCGAGCCACGTAGAAAAAGCAACAATTTCAAAGGCAAGCCCCCAATCACCACTAAACACAAAGATGGCCCAATCCAAGCAGATCCCAACCCTAACTCCCAACATAAGAAAAACGGTCCAATCCAAAAATTATAAGGACAGTTTCTTTTCCCTACTGAATCAGAGGATTCATAATTTTTTTAATCATTACACATATGATAAATTATAAGGACAATTTAACTTGTTTA